CTCCTATGAATAATGAAACACTGTGACAAACCAGCAGAAAGCAGTACTATAATCAAATGACAACTTAGAAACAATATTGACAACGACTGATAACTGGAATTTAGACAACCAAGGGAAGCAGTACAATGGTGTGTATTAAGGAAAAAGCTTCCTCAACTTTTGTGGGCCCAACACCAGAGTACTGTATCCGGCAGGCTGCGCCCAAACGGCCAGTCCAATCTCTGCTCGTGTCTCAACACGCAACCATCCTCTGCTACCAATTGTTGTGAAAAACCATCATGTATTCTAAACCCGATACACCAAAAACGTGCAAGCGCACGAGCAGCAAATCAGCCAACACAAAGCAATCAGACTTTACGTTTTTTATTCTTTTTTAGCGCTAAAAAAAAAGACGCTTACCATCACAGACTAGAATTGAAAACCAGGGGCCCCGAGTTTATACAGAATGTGTTTAAAAAACGGGAAGATTCGTTGCTTATGATCTAAGAACACGCCCAGTGGTCATCCGATGTCCTGCGTCGCCTAAATCTCTATTTGCTTGGAGATGGGAGTGAGGAGATGATTCAGTTTCTGTATCTGTTACAAATACAAAGGCCTTTGTGTGAAAGTATGAGAGTGTAATGTGTGTAGAAAGCATATGTGTGTATTTGACCTTGACCTAAGTGCCTCAACACTATGCATTCAATTATTTTTATTCCAAATATTTTAATCAAAATTTACATGTATGATTTACACATCTACAGAATATAAAAGTAAAATAATGTTAATCTTACAAGCAAAGTGAAATGTAATTTTTAAAAAGTGTTTCTGCTGTACAGTAATTGTGAATTTGGGCAGTCGTACAGTAAAGAAATGTTTGACTTGCAGAGAACACAACAAATTTAAACTTAGAAGGCCAAATTTCTTTAAGCTGTGCAAATGGAACCAAGGAACCATCTATAAACAGATCCTTGAACTATAACACAGAGAAAACCTTAATCAATAAAATATTGATTAAACAGGCAACTTATGGCAATACGACTGAGTAGAGAAACTGGAGATGCCTCTATTTTCCATGCATTTGTTACATAGCATAAATCTAAATTTAATTAAATTTCTGGACTTGTTGATACAAAATTGTTTATTAAGCCAAACTGTTAATTTGGTTCTGCCGTTAGTGACACTGGCTGATGAAAGCATGGTACTTTTGGCTCGGCTTCCAAAGAAAAGCCAGCTCAGTATTTATTGCCATCATATTTTAGTGTGATGGGGCAAATCAAAATGTTTTGAAAGTTAATAAATCATTTTACATTTAGTGTTTTTAAGAGAAGCTTGTATAAAAGTAAATATGTGCTATTAGGATTTGAATAAAAAAATGCCTCTTAAATTTGAATTTGGTATATCAGTGCTTACTTTTTCAGTATTAAAATAAATTCAGAATATATTTCTAACCTGAAAAAAAATTGGTATCATTTGTACATAGTTGCAATTTGCATTTGTTAAAAAAAATCACATTTCTATTTTAAAGTGATCAAATTTGTAAAAATTCAGCAAATAAAATTCAACTTCTCAAAATTCAAATGCAATATTTTCAGTGTCCTCAAATTCAACTTTCTCATTTTCACTCTCTCAAATTCAACGTCTAAAATTCGCTGTAAAAATGGCAAGGTTACTTCAGGTCACAGACATGCGCAATGGACGTCAGATTCCAACACTCAGCCAATCACAAGACGCCACGTCATAGAGAAGAAATACCAGCATCACGGAGGCTGGCGACTATGTAGGCGAACGCTAACCCAAAGGTGAGTTTAATGCTTTCATATTTCTGTAGTACATTTCATTTGGCGCCTGAGGTTTGATACATTATCTTAAAGCTCGATTTAAAACACGGGTTTGGTCCGTTAAACACCAGGAAGATGTTACATGGTAAACAGAAACATTCTGTTTGTGAGGAAAAGCTTGACTAATAAAGTTTATCCAGAATCTGATTGGTGTTAAAATAAGGAGAAAGAAAACAAAATAAACTCCGACTCCCAGAATGCAAAGCGCTCAGCCAATCATTTGTTTCTGAAAATGCATATTAATACTAACCTGTAATATTACTGCATTATTTCCTTAGTTATTGGTGCTTCACTTTTATTTATTTTTTTTGCCCCTTTTTACATTTGATATAGTTTATTTCATTATTTTCATTTTCATTGTTATTTTAACTTTACTGGATTAATCATTTTGTAACAGAATGAAATATTGGAGATTAGAAATAAACATTTAATTTAAATAAAATATGGGCTCAAACTACATATTTTCAGTATTTTTCTGTAGTGTTGAGAAAAAGCAGCTACAATAACTTTACATCTTTATGGACCAACAGGACGGATCTGCTGAGCAGCTCAGAGGATATTTAAATGTAAAGATGATTTATTAAAAGATTTTTCCATAAGTTGATTATCTTGTCTGGATTTTTTAACATTTCAGGATGAAATGATGTTTTATTAATTACAACCTGATCCATCATCAACAACAAAACAACAGATCTAAACTGTAGATCAGGAACATTTTATGGTTTGTTTTGTTTGGGTTGAAAATATTTCCAGGCCTTTTTTGTATGTGTTAATGTAACATAGTTAATGTATAGAATTCCACTTGTCTTTACTTCTAAGTTTGGGTTTATGTGTAATGGGTGAAACAGCACCCCCTCCTGGTGGGGTTGCCAGTTCATGAGAGATGGACGCGAGGTGCTGTACTGCTCGTGATGAACCTGCTCCCTGATTATGTCATATTTTGTTTCATACAGATAAACCACATTTTGTCTCCTGGTCCCGTATTCATACAACGCAGAGCTGATGATAAGCTGTAATAGTTAAAAAGGCTACATTTAATTTTTTTGGTTTTGATTTCATGTACTTGGTTGATTTAAAAAATAAATAAATAAATAAAATTGTTATGAATAATGTTTTTGATTGTTTTCCTCTATTTGATTTGTATTTAATTTTGATATTAGTGGATTTACAGTTTTTTCTTCCTGACAATATGAAGTAGTTTTATTAAAGGTTTATTGAAACGTTTCTGCCTGGAGGCCTGGATGGAGAAAAGATCAAACCAGTCAGATCTGCTGATTTCTCTCAAACTTCAAAACACAGATTGTTTGAACTGAATTAATATTTTTCTTCAATTAAACTATATAAATTGTTTCTGCCACTTAGTGATGCTGGTTGATGAAAGGGTCTCTAATTTATGGTTAATAGCCTCATATTTCATCTTAATGAGATGAATCCAAATGTTCTGTTTTGATAAATCATTTTGCATTGAGTCTCTATAATCATTTTGATATTTGCCTAATTTTATGCATTTGTTGTGTTAGCAGGCTTTCTTACTTCTGTGTTATATTTGAATCAAACTTTTAATTTTTATCTGACACAAAACAAACTATTGAACTGAACCACAACAGAAACAGAACCGAACCCAGAAACCAAACCATGTCCTCAGTGAAGATCGATGTCCAAAAAGTCAAAAGCCTCGACTTGGATTGGTTGCTTCAGATCCTCTTAGTTACTTGTTCAGTTTTTGAGAAGCCAAGCCGCCAGGGAACCAATCAAAACAAAGTTCTGATTCACTGAGAGTGAGAGCTGAGCAGTGAAAGGAAAAAACTCGATCCGGCTCTACCTAGATGAGAGTCGGCTCTTTATTCACTACAAAGTCTTTATTCACTTACCCTGCTTGAGACCTCCTTGTACCAGTCTCCTCCTTTTAGATTCCAGATGAAAATGTGTGAGCTGCAGCTAGACGCACTGGCTCTCTGCCTCAGCAATTCAACAAGAAACTGATTTGTATTTTAAACAAACTGTCACAAACTCTAATGCTAAATAATTACTATAAGTTTGGATCTAAGAACTAAAGTGTTTTTTTTAAAAGCTCTTTTTGAGAATAATTTTTTATTTTAAAAGTAAAATAGTTTCTTAATTCTATGGTATTTCAGTAATATAAAATGCATGCAAATAGTATGGTTAAAAGTAACTAATTCAAAACATGCTGTTAATGCTAAAGGAAATATCTTAATATGTTTGATTATACTTTGGAGAAGACTTTTAAAGTTTTAATGTTTCACTGAACTATTGAACCGATCACCAAAGAGTTTGTTGATTCTGATAAGAAACAGACTTTTAGACACTCTCGTCTAAAAGGTCCTCCTTGATAATTTATGTGAGTTCACCTTATCGTAAAGTCTACCCAAAATGTTCATGCTGGATCTAATGTCTCTATAGTTATGCTAACTGGACTTATATTCATTTCTTGCATATTGAGAATTAATTATTTGGTTTAAATTTTCATATTAAGTTAAAACTCAGTTCAAGATTAAATAACTTAAAAAAACAACATTTAGTCAACTTATCTCTTGTTAAATCAACTTTGAGTTGAAGCCAAAACAATTTTCTTCTTGAGTTTATTGCATTTAAAGGCAGCAGGTTAAACTTCCTTCAGATGTTTTACAGTGTAGTTTACTTTATGTTAACAGGAAACGTCTGCAGCAGATTTTCTTCCACACCAATAAAGAAATAAAACTCAACATGAAATCCTTCATGTTCTTGATCCACATCAGACCTGCAGAGTCTGACGGTCCAGAGACTCTCAGCTTTAATCTGGATGAAATCTGGTCTGCACTGATTTCACTCAATGAGGCTTATATGAGGCTTTAAATGAGGCTTATATGAGGCTTTAAATGAGGCTTATATGAGGCTTTAAATGAGGCTTAAATGAGGCTTTAAATGAGGCTTAATGAGGCTTAAATGAGGCTTTATGGCAGTAAAATGAATGTTTTCCATGTTGTGAAGACAGCAAAGCTTCCCATGTGTCACATGTGAGCCTTTCAGTTTGAGGCCTGCAGCTTTTCTCAGCGTTTTCTGCAGGAATGAGGAAGAACATGGCAGCAGCAGCCAGTGCAGGAATTTCACTGGAACATCCTGCAGTCCAACTTCAGCAGAGCAGCAGAGACTCAGAGACAACAAGCTGCTGCAGGAGGAGGAGGATTTATTCAGCTGCGCTTATGTTTCAAGATCATTTCATAGTCCAGATGAGTTTGTAACTTTATTCCTGAGGTCAAAGTCAAACATCAACAGGTGAGTCAGAAAAAATGTTTCTTAAAATGTAAACGGTTCCTGTGAACAAGAAGCTGTTGAAATGATGACCTCATTTTATTTCTGTGTTTTAGGTAAATTGTCATGTCAAAGGTCACGGCCTTTATGAAAATAGTTTCTAGTGATGAGAGTCACTCTGATATTCGCAGCTCTAGAAAAACAACACAGACGTTTTCAGCTCTGTTGCTTTTTTACTGATTTATTCTTTTCTTTGTCAATTTTCTGGTTTAAATTTAGATGCTGATGAAATTTTTGTCTTTCTGGGTTTGAATGCTGATTATGTGGAAGATAGTTTTCTTCCTTTCAGGCGGTTTTATGGATTCCTAACCAGAGCTTGGAGTTTTATTCCCAGAGAAGCTTTAGGAAAAGAGCCAGTAGCAGTGATTTGATCAAACTCTAGTTTTTACCTGATGATGCTGTTTTACCTGAATGTCACCTGAACTGGATTCATCCAGAATCTGATCAGGTCAAACTGATTTTCTCCATTTATTTTGTTCTCAGATGATTTGAAGCTTTTTTTAGTTTCTCATGAACTTGAAGCTCTGCTTGTTTTTCTCTTCCTTAAACTTCCTGTTGATCTGCTTTCTGAGCCAACTGACATTTAATCTTCATCTCTGAACATTCAGTCTTTCTGAGGCAACTGGTTCCTCCCAGCAGAACGCTGTGGAACAACTGGTTGGACTGGATTTCTGCTCCCAGTCACTCAGTGGAAACTAAACTGGTCTCTGTGTCGTTGGTAAATGTTCCAGTCAGACTGAAGACACAATAAATCTGATCAAATCTGATCCAACAGAAATAAATCCATCATTATAATCGTCTATAAAACATTATTTCCATCCAGACTGTGAACATTTCTATTTTTAATTACTATAATTTACAGTTTTTCTCTGGCAGATTTAGGATTCAGTTAAATTATATTTTAATGTTTCTGCTGACTGATAATAATACTGATATTTTGGATCGGCCTAGTTAAAGTCCTCCAACCTGCAGCTCATCACCAAAGATAAAAACATGAGAAACGTTTTGATAGCAAAATGATTTTCTATTGATTATTGAGAAAGTTATGAATAATTATTGATGTTTTTACAGAATGCATTAATTTCAGCCTCAGTGAAGATAAACAATGTTTCTGAGAGTCAAACTTTAAACTTTAAACTTTAAACTGATTTTACCTCTGATATGTTACAGCAACCTGAGGTTCTGGTTCTGGTTCTGGTTCTGGTTCTGGTTCTGATCCAGGTTCTGGTTCTGGTTCTGATCCAGGTTCTGGTTCTGGTCCAGGTTCTGGTTCTGGTTCTGGTTCTGGTTCTGGTCCAGTTAGACCCAGAGACATCATGGCTGCTGCAGAACCTGGTGAGTTTAGTTAAACCTCTTGAATCCTTTGATTAAATCAAAATATTGATTATTGTTCATTGATTAAATCTAAATATTGATTATTGTTTATTGATTAAATCTAAATATTGATTATTGTTTATTGATTAAATCTAAATATTGATTATTGTTAATTGATTAAATCTAAATATTGATTATTGTTTATTGATTAAATCTAAATATTGATTATTGTTTATTAATTAAATCTAAATATTGATTATTGTTTATTGATTAAATCTAAATATTGATTATTGTTTATCTGGTTCATACAGAAACATTTTTCTTTCATGTTTTTATTTTCTCCAGAAATTCGATGAATGAAAATATTGTAAAGTTTCCATATTGTCATAAAATATTCAGTTTTTGAAGGATTTTTGTTACTTTGTGTTTTAAATGATCAGAGACATGAATTATTGTCTCTGACCTTCATTAACTTGTTCAGCTTCATTCTGGCTTCAGAACCGGACCTTTGGACCGGTCCTCCTCTGGTCGGAGAAATGAATTGATCTCCATGACAGTTTGATCAGAAACAAACGTTTCATTCTGTCTTGTTTTCACATCAATGTTTCCTGCTTTTACTTTATTTCTCTCCACTTTGGGTTTGGATCAGTTATTGAAACTGGTTCTGATCCAGATCAGGAGTTCAGTTCTTGGTTTCTCTGGAGAATTTTAGAACTGATTTTATTTTCTTCACTTTTTGTCCTTTCAGATCTGCAGCCTGTGAAACGCAGCAACAGCCTGGAACTGATTCCTCCTTCCAGTGAGTTTAACTACTGACTGATTTACTGATAGGAATAAAATCAACATGATTCATATTAAAGTCCTGAAATCCCACAATAATAATTCATGTCTTTGTTGAGAAGATGCAGAATTATTGAACCAGAATCTGATGAAACAAACATCTCAACTTTTTATTTGGATCAAATTCTCGTCTTTTTTCTAAAAGCCTGAAGTTTGAATTTATATAAACTTTTGGATCAAAGATCATAAATATTACTGGATCAATACATTAAAAGTTTTCTATCTCTATGATCTGAATGTTTTCAACTGTTTTAATAGTTGTATTTTATTTCCAGTGTCTGAGCTCAGAGTGCTTCTACTGGAGGAAACTGGTCTGACAGGAGTTCAGTGGGGAAATTCATACTGGGATGGGATGGATTCACCACAACACCAAACACCTTGAAGAAGATTTCTACTAAACTGAAAAACAAACAAATATCTGTGATCAACAGTCCAGATGTTTTGCAGAAAACAGCAGAAAAACAGCAACAGTTCATTAGAAAGTGTGCTGAAGTCTCTGATCCTGGACCTCATGTCTTCCTGTTGGTTATTCAGCCTGAAGGTTTCACTGAATATGAGAAAGATCAACTCTGCAGAATCCTTCAAGGCTTCAGTGATCAATCATTTGATCACTCATTGGTTCTGATCCTGAAGTCCAGTCAGAAAGGTTCTATGATCGGTTCTCCTCTGGAGGATTTGATCAGAAAATGTAGAAACAGACATTTAAAGATGGAGGAAACTGAACGTGAGCAGCTGCTGAGTCAATTTGATCAAATTATGAAAGAAAATAATGAAAACCATGTGAAATATGAGGAGTTTGTAGCAGCAGCAACGACTTTACCGTCAGATGATCAGACTCAGAAACAACCAGGATCCAAACCTGCTGCTGGTAAGAAGAGGACTCAATCTGATTATATAGCTCTATGTTCATTGATTAAAAAAAAAACTAACATAGATTTTTCATATCTGGACAAGAAATCAATTCCCAGAATCCATTGTAAATTATTTAATTCCAGGACTTTATTTTTATATGTTGAAATAATTTCAATTAAAGATAAAGAAATGTCTGGTCCATTTTCTGTCCAACATTTAAAAATAACTGGTTCAAATTCAGGCTCTGATCCAGTTCTTAAATCCACCAGATTAAAATCAGAAACATTAAAAATCTGCCAAATTATCAATTTAAAATATTTTGCTCTGAGAATCTCCAGTTTAAACTTCTTTTGTTTTTAATCTGAAAAGATTCAGACAAATTTACTTAAAGTTCAGTATAGAAAACTTACACATCAAACTGTTTCAATAATGATTGTATTGATTTGTAATAATTTTTATCTGTTTTGTTGCAGTTAAACCCAAATCTAGAGGAGAGCAGAGACCGAACCAGAACCAGAGACTGAACCTGGTTCTGTTTGGTCCAAATGATCCACTGAAGACGGCAGCAGCCAAGGTCATCCTAGGTCAGCCAGATCTTCCTCCAGAGAGGCTCAGGAAGCAGGGAGAGGTGTTTGGACGTGGGGTTTCTCTGGTGCAGCTGCCTGCCTTGGATGGAAAAGCTCAGCAGGAAGTGATGGAGGAATCCTTCAGGTGTGTCTCCCTCTGTGATCCTGAGGGTGTCCACGCCTTCATCCTGGTCCTGCCTGTGGGTCCCCTCACTGATGAAGACAAGGGAGAGTTACACACCATCCAGGACACATTCAGCTCCAGAGTCAATGACTTCACCACCATCCTCTTCACTGTGGAGTCAGACCCTAAACATCCAGCTGTTGGGAACTTTATAAAGGAGAACAGACACATCCAGGATCTCCTCCAGATCTGTGGAGGAAGATATTTAGTTCTGGACATCAGAGACAGACGGCAGATCCCAGAACTGATGGAGACGCTGGAGAAAAATGATTCATCTTTTACGACTAAAACATTATTTTGGGGCCAAATGGAGGAGAAACTGCAGCTGCAGAATAAAGTGAAGAAGTTTGAATCAAAGTCTGTGACTCCAGGTAAATATGATGTTTATGTAATTCAGATATAAAAGACTTTTTTCTCCACTTATTTACATGAAGTTTAATATTATTGTATATATATACAGGATGATCCCAGCAGTTCTTTTTATTAACTTATTGCTCAGTTTGAGTTTTTACAGTGAAATGTTATAATAATTCATCTGAGACTTAAAAACATACAAACAGTAAAAAATCTCCTGTTTTTCTGCCTGATATCAGGAAACAACTGAGATGTTGAATGATACAAATCAACTTTCTGACCGATAAAAATCATTCATGTTTTCCAAATAACTTTAAATAAATTACTTATAATAACAGAAATGATGGAACAAAGCAGAAGTTTTCATCATAATGGTTGTGAGGATTCTGTCTCATAACTTTCTACCATTTATTAATCTTTATAATCTTCATTCTAACTCAGATCCTGAGCAGATCCCGGTGTCAGATCATCTCCGGATCGTTCTGGTCGGGAAGACGGGCGGCGGGAAGAGTTCATCAGGAAACACCATCCTGGGCAGGAGACAGTTTGAAGCTAAAGCGTCTCAACTGTCGGTCACTAAAAGCTGTCAGAAAGCCCAGACTGAGATCGCAGGGCGGCGGGTCGTTGTGGTCGACACGCCTGGCCTGTTTGACAACACGCTGGACGCCGGCCAGGTGGACGAGGAGCTGCTGAAGTGCATCAGCCTGCTGGCGCCGGGGCCACACGTCTTCCTGCTGGTGCTGCAGGTCGGCAGATTCACCGAGGAAGAGAAACTCACTTTAAGACAAATGAAGAAAGTTTTTGGTAAAAACTCAGAAGATTTCACCCTCATCCTGTTCACCGGAGGAGACAAACTGGACTATGAGGACAAAACAATAGAGCAGTACATTAGAGAGGGAGCAGATGAATCCTTTAACAAGCTGCTCAGAGACTGTGGAGGAAGATATCATGTTTTTAATAATTATGACAAAGAGAACCGATCACAAGCCAATGAACTGATCCAGAAGATCAATGAGATGGTGAAGCAGAACGGAGGAAACTGCTTCACCAGCGAGATGCTGCAGGAGGCCGAAGCTGCAATACAGAGAGAGGTGAAGAGAATCCTGCAGGACAAAGAAGAAGAAATTCACAAACTGAAGGAGGAACTTGAAAAGAAACACAAAGAAGAAAAAGAATCACTGAGAAAAAAATGGAAACAGAGAGAAGAGATGGAAAAAGAGAGAAAACAGAGAAGAACAATTTCAAGAGATGGAAGAAAACATGAGGAAGGAGCGAGAGCAGAAAGACAGAGAACAGAGAGGAAGAGAAGAGGAAGAGAAGAAAAGACAAGAGCAGGAAACGACAACAACAGCAGTGGGAAAAAGAACGACAAGATTTAGAGAAAAAGATCCAACAGGAATCAAAAGAAAAGGAAACAATCGACAGGAAACTGGAAGAGACGAGAAAACAGATGGAGGAAAAACGAGACGCCTGGAGAAGGAAAGAAAGGAGTGGTGGGAAAATCGACACCGAGAAGACCAAGAGAGACGAGAAGAACTGAAGAGACTCCAGGACAAATACGAGAAAGAAAGACAGAAATATGAAAACCAGAGGAGAAAAGATGATGAGAGGAGGAGAGAACTGGAGAAGGAGAGAAAAGAATTAGAGCAAAATATCAGAAACAAGTGGAGGAAGTAAAGAGGAAGTTTGAAGACGAAGCCAGAAAACGAGCAGAAGAATTTAATGAGTTCAAAGAAAAATACAAGAAAGATTTTTCTGCTCTGCTGCGAAAACAAGAAGAGAAACAACAGAAAGAAAAACTTAGAATGAACCGAATAAACACATGAAACTTCATGTTTCTGATAAATAGGATAAAAATTAATGAATCATAGAAAGAAAAACAAAAGATGTCAGAAAAAACACAGAGTGATGCATCACAACGTCCTGAAGATCTTTGGTTTCAGTAAAGTTTCAAACTTTTAGTTTCTTTTGATCTTTACATTTAATTTAATCAGAGTAAATTTGGTTTAAAACATTTTACTTTATTAAATATTATTAATAAATTAATAATCCAACATCAGAAACAAACATTGTTATTAAATGTAATATTTCTGGTTTTTTTATTTTGCTTTGTCTTCAATATCAGGAATTCTTCTGCTTTTATTTGTTTCACATTTTCTTGTTTTTTATTTTATAAATGAAACAATTAATTAACAAACAAGTTGACATGTAAATTTCTGTTCATTTATTTGTATTTTTATTATATATTGTTTTACAACTAAAGTATGAAAATTGTAGATGTGAAATTATGAGTAACTTGTATAAATTTGGGATTAATTTGGTTCTTATTGCAGCAATAAAACATGTTTAATGTGATTATTTGAAGTTTTGTTTTCTTAGTGTGAATAATTGTTTCTGAAAATAATTTGTGTTTATTTGTTGATTCTTCATTTCAGTCAGAAAATGATAAACATTTAATTTTAATCATCATAAATCTGATGCTGCAGAAACATTCATTCTTCATGATGAACCATCAGGAATCTGAAACTGTTCAAGTTTTACTGGATGTTTTTCTGCTTGTGTTTGATTTGAAACATGATTTTTTCAAAATAAGTTGGTATCAATGTCTCTCATTGTGTCTTTATTCATGGTTTTATACCAGATCATGTTATAATCCCAGTCAGTTCTGCATCAGCTGCAGGTTTTCATGTTATCAGTTCAGAAATGCAGATTTGAAGAATTTCCTTCATTTGTTCAGGAGACAAAAACAGAAACTCCAGAGAGACGAGGAGCAAAAACCTGAGCTAAAAGTCTGAAGAAGTTTAGAGTTTAGAGCGACGGAGCCAACAGTCTGAACTGGAAAACTTCTGATCACATTTATTTTACTGAAGCAGAAAAACATGCTTCTGTCTGCTCCTGATTTGATTATGATAAAATTCTTATAGGTCGAACCAACAAAATGACATTCCGACCAGGATCGCCTTTTCCCAGTTTTCCATGATCTCCTTTAAATAATGTGATTTACTGGAGTTTTGCAGTTTGGAGGTGGGAGGGATCAGCAGCTGCTCTGACCAATAGGGATCCGTCTTTAAGACCCGCCCAGGACGTTCCTGTTCTCTGAACTCAAAACTCTTTGAATTCATCCTGACCAGATGCCTGAGCCTCAACTGGCTCCTCTCGATGCGGAGGAGCAGCGGCTCTACTCTGAGCTTCTCCCCCAATCCATGCTCCCATTTTGGCTGCTTGTATCTGAGATCTCGTTCTTTCAGTCATGACCCAAGGTTCATGACCATAGATGAGGGTGGGAACAACGATCGACCGGTAAAACTAGAGCTTTGCTTTTTGGCTCAGCTCTCTCTTCACCATGACGGACCGGTACTGTGCTGCTTCACGGTGGACGCTGCGCCAGTCGGCCTACCGTTCTCCCGCTCCCTTCTTCCCTCATTCATGAACAAGATCTTGAGATACTTAAACTCCTCCACTTGGGGCAGGACATCCCCCCCGACCCGGAGAAGCACTCTACCCTTTTCCGGCTCAAGACCACGGCGTCGGACTTGGAGGAACTGGTACTCATCCCGGCCGTTTCACACTCGGCTGCGAACCGCTCCAGCGAGAGCTGCAGATCACGTCTTGATGAAGCCAATAGGACCAGATCATCCGCTAAAAGCAGAGATGGATCCTATGGTCACCAAATCGGATCCCCTCAACACCCTGGCTGGTCTAGAAATTCTGGTCATAAAAGTAATGAACAGATTCGGTGACAAAGCTCAGCCCTGGAGGAGTCCAACCCTCACCGGGAACGAGCCAGACTTACTGCCAGCAAAGCCGACCAGACTCTGACACCGGTCATACAGGGACCTGACAGCCCGTTTCAAAGGGCCCGGTACCCCAGACTCCGGGAGAACCCCCCACAGGGCACCCCGAGGGACATGGTCAAACGCCTACTCCAAGTCCACAAAACACATATAGATCGGTTGGGCGAACTTCCATGCACCCTCCAGGACCCTGCTGAGGGTGTAGAGCTGGTCCTGTGTTCCACGACCACAATCAGAATCACACTGCTCTTCCTGAATCTCATGTTCAACTATCCAATGGACCCTCCTCCCCAGGACCCCCGAATAGACCTCGCCAGAGAGGCTTAAGAGTGTGACACCCTATAGTTGGAGCACACCCTCCGGTTCCCCTTTTGAAACAGGGGGACCACCACCCCAGTCTGCCAATCCAGGGAACTGCCCCTGGATTGGCAATATCCAGGGACAGTTGGGGTCCCTGCAATATTGTCCATACGTTCTGGATGTTGTAGGGTTGTGTTGGTTGACGCGACTGCAATATTGTATGGACAATATTGCAGAGTCGCGTCAACCAACACAACCCTACAACATCCAGAGCCTTAAGAACTCTGGGCGAATCTCATCCACCCCCAGGGGCCTGCCACCGAGGGCCTCGACCCCAGAGATTGGAGAGCCCAACCCAGAGTCCCCAGGCCCAGCTTCCTCAACGGAAGGCATGTTGATGGGATTCAAGAGGTCTTCGAAGTACTCCGCCCACCAGCCCACAACGTCCCGAGTTGAGGTCAGCAGCTCACCATCCCCACTGAAAACAGTGTTGGTGCTGCACTGCTTCCCCGTCCTGAAATGCCGGATGGTGGACCAGAATCGCCTGGAAGCCATACGGAAGTCTTTCTTCACGCCCGAGTTTTTGCCTCAGCAACCACCCGAGCCACACGCTGCTTCACCTGCTGGTACCCATCAGCTGCTTCCAGAGTCCCACAGGCTAAAAGGTCTGATAGGACTTCTTCTTCAGCCTGACAGCATCCCTCACTGAAGGTGTCCACCAAGGGGTTCGAGGGTTGCTGCCACGACAGGCACCAACAACATGGTCCACTCAGACTCAATGTCCCCCACCTCACCAGGGAAGTGTTTAAAGTTCTGTCAGAGATGGGAGTTAAAGCTCCGTCTCACAGGAGACTCCGCCAGATGTTCCCAGCAGACCTTCACAGCATGTCTGGGTCTGCCAGGTCTGACCAGCATCCTCCCCCACCACCGGAGCCAATCACCAAGGTAGTGGTCAGTGAACAACTCCGCTCCTCTCTTCACCCAAGTACGGCCGCAGATCCGATGAAACAATGGCAAGATCAATCATCGAACTCCAGCCTCGGGTGTCCTCGTGCCAAATGCACATATGGACACCCTTATGCCTGAACATGGTGTTCGTTATGGACAATCCGTGTCGAGCACAGAAGTCCAACAACAGAACACCACTCGAGTTCACATCAGAGGGAGCTGTTCCTCCCAACCACACCCCTCCACTGTCATTACCCACGTGAGCGTTGAAGTCCCCCAGCAAAACGAGGGAGTCCCCAGGAGGGGCACTCTCCAGTACCCCCTCTAAGGACTCCAAGAAGGGTGGGTAGGCTGAACTGTCATTTCGGCCCATAAGAACAAACGACAGTCAGAACCCGTCCCCCCACCTGTAGGCGGAGGGAGGCTACTCTCTCGTTCACCAGGGTAAACCCCAACGTACAGGCGCCGAGATGGGGAGCAACAAGTATGCCCACTCCTGCTCGACGCCTCTCACCGTGGGCAACTCCAGAGTGGAGGTACATCCAGCCCCTCTCAAGGAGGCTGGTTCCACAACCAAAGCCCTGTGTCGAGGTGAGACCGACTATTTCTAGCCGGAACCTCTCAACCTTCCCCACCAGAGAGGTGACATTCCACATCCCAAGAGCCAGCTTCAGTAACCGAGAATCGGATCGCCAGGACCGATTCCACCCTCCCTCGGCCACCACCCATCACACACTGCACCCGACCCCTTTGGCCCTTCCCATAGGTCAGGGGTGGGCACTCCAGGTCCCTGCAACTTTTAGATGTATCTCTACTTCAACACACCTGAGTCAAATACTGAGGTCATTAGCAGGTCTCTGGAGAACTTGATTGCATTTAGGAGGTGATTCAGCTATTGGACAGGTATGTTGGATCAGGGAGACAACCAAGAGTTGCAGGACACCGGCCCTCGAGGACCAGGAGATCCCATCCCTGCCATAGGTGGTGAGCCCATTGGAAGAGGGACCCATGTCTCCTCTTCGGACTGAGCCCGGCCGGGCTCCACGGGTAAAAGCCCGGCCAGCAGGCGCTCGCCAATGTGCCCCACCTCCAGGCCTGGCTCCAGGGTGGAGCCCTGGTGACCCACGTCCGGGCGAGGACGCTGGTCCTCCCCCGCCCTTATTTCAAAAATAAAATATTTCAATAAAAGATAAGATAAAAGTCTTTATTGTCACTGTCACAGGAACAACAAAATTTTACAAAGTGCCATCAGTCAGTGCATACGATTAATGTACTATCTCATAATTTATACACCATGTATAAAAATAAATAACCAATAGCTGATGCACATCGTTCATGATGATTGATGGTTATGTTTTGGTTGCATTTAGTTTTGTTATTGCTTTCAGGTAAAAACCGTCTCTCAGACGGTTGGTTCTTGTTCTGATGGTTCTGCATCGTCTCCCTGAAGGCAGCAGTGTAAACAGAGAACATCTGGGTGGGAAGTGTCCTTTATGATACAACTCAATTTACAGTTAAATGTTTGATTGAACTTTTCTGCAAAGCCAAATTATTCCACCCTCCATTTGCACAGATGTGAATAAACAGTAAAAGTTACTTTTTGCTATTTATGAAATGAACCCAAAAGAAATCATTTTGGGTTCAGGAGCTTCAGCTGCAGAACTTTATGGACTCGGGTTTTTCTGCGTTTCCATGTCAGGATCTGCAGGAGGAAATGAGACGATGATAAAACTATATTGTTAGCAGATATAATGTAAACCAAATATTAATTATTAACAGGAGAAACAGCAGAGATCTGACCTTTTCTGCCCTCTGAGGGAATTAAAATATATTTAATAACACATATTTATCACCAATGTGATAAAAACAAAAACTACAATAAAAGTTCTGCTTTTACTGGAAAGGGTGGAAAACATTTAGTTATTATTTAGAAACAGCTTTTCTGATGATTTAGTTTTCAATCTTTGATGAATTTATTATCTTTTCTAATTTTATTCTTAGACTGAATTCAGGGTTTCTAACACTGAACATACTTCATTGTTTAATTGCTCTTCAGATCCTGATGCATCTATCATTATTATATCTATTATTACTTTACTATTATTACATTACTGCAACATTTAATCTGAAAATATCATGCAAAACAAAGTCAGTTTGACCATAGTTCCTGTAGTTTTAGCTGATTCTATGATTTCTTGTCTTTCCTCTGGTTTCCATGCTGATGTTTTCTCTTCCTGTCTGAACTCAACATGTGACTGAATGAAGAAGTCAGAATAATTCAGCTGTGAGGTGGAGTGAAGGCGTTGGACTGGTTATTTTTTACAGTATTTGTGGCTCAACAGAGAGAGAAGTGGAGGTCATGCAGTAAACGGCTTGGGAATGGAACCGCTGCGTTACAGACTGCTACCTGCTAATGGCGCCGGCTCTCCCACTGAGTCACGCAGCGCCTCAGGGCTGATCCTTCGTCTGATAACTGCTTCCTGTCAGACGGGCTGAACTGCTGCTTATCAACACGTCTCCATAAATTAAAACCCTAAAATCCATGAACAGAAACTGTTTCAGTTTTATTAATGTTGGATCCATTCAGACGACGATTCACAGAGAAACTGATGAGGAAGATGAACTTTATGACACAGAGAGAAAAAACCTTAAAATACTGCAGGAAGAGCAGTAAAGGAGTTTATTCCTCATGTTCTCCAAACATTTCTACATTATAGATCTTGAATATTTCCCAGCAGCCACGGCGTTAAATAGATGAAGCAGCAGAAACTGTTCTGGGATCCGTTCACCGTTTCTGTGAACTGAAGATGCTGATGAACCAGTTGGACTGATGGAAGCTGCTCAGCCTGCTGCTGGTCAGACTGGAACAAACTGGAGTCTCAGTTTCACAGCTTGAGCTGAAGAAACGTCTCAACGTGAGATTTGTTGGCAGCTGCAGAAAAATAACTCCGATTAAAGAGAAAGTGTTCAGAGTGAAGTTTAGTCAGCTTCTAATCTATTCAAATAGATTGAAGCTTAATTCTGACGGGGACAGATGGAGGGAAAGGCCTGGCTGGATCAGTTTCAGTTGTTTTCTGTTTGCACTGTGTGAATCTTGCTGGTCTGGTTCAGCCTGAACTCTGCAGGTTTTTGAAGGAAGTGTCAGGAAAACCTTCAGTTGCTGCTGGAATGAGGAAGATCATGTCAGTGAAACACCCAGTGCAGGAATTTCACCAAACTGTCAAACGTCTGAAAGGCAGCAGAAACAGCAGCAGAGATTTCATGACTAAAGTTGAACTTTATTTCTTCATATCATCTTATTTTGATAGGAAACATCTGGTTCTGACTGGAAAGAACTTTTTCCTTCAGTCCAAACTTCATGGTGACATCACTGAGCTTCAGCAGGTGAGTCAGTTTAAATCAGTGATTTTATAAGATTTACTAGAAATATTGCTGTGAAAATTAATAACAGGTCAAAGTTTTCAACACTTAAAAAGAATAAAATCCAGGAGAAATCAATCTGATTCTAATTTTATTCCCTGCAGAAAGAAGATTATTTTGAAGTTTTCATGTTTCAGTTTTATGAAACCCAGTTTGAGCAAAATGTTGATATTTACATGTAAATGTAAGTAATATTTATTTACAGTGTGGCTGCAGTCAGACACTTTAACTGATCACAAGAAGTTTGGTTTGAAAATGAGTTTTATTCAGTGTGAGTTATGATTCAGCCGTCAGAAAAAGTAATAAATTAAATCCTGCATCAGTAATTTAAACATGTTTATTGTTTTTAATCTTCTTTCTTCTCCATCTGAACTTTCTAAACTGTTTTTCTGCTTTGAATCATAAAGTAAAACCTTAGATTGTAAAATTAGTTTTTTAACAAAAGGTAAGTTTTAAAAAATGATTAAAAAAAATAAAAATTAGTTGATTTTATTACATCCTCATGTTCGGTAATTCAAAACTTATTAACTTTTTTTGATTTGTGCAGCAATCAAAACTATTTTTCTGGGTTTTGACTAAAGGACCAATCACAGATTAAATCTGATCAAATTGATATTTTTCTGGATTTAAACTTTATTTATCTAGGATAAAATAAACACTCAATGATATTTAAAATCTTTTTTATTTGTCCTGAAACAGCAGAAGACTGAAATCAAGTTAATGTCAATAATCAGATTTTAATTCAGCAGTTGATTCTAATATAAATCCAGTCAGATTTTTCTGTTCTTGTTCTGGAAGTCGTCTAAAACCCGACCTTTGACCTCAGTGAGTCTGGAGGATCAGGATTTGCTGCTGCTTCCTGCTTTCATGTCTCAGTGGATCATAAACGCTGATCCAGTTTTATGGTGGATGATTTCTGACTAAAATCTGCATTTAGTCCTAATTTATCCATGATGAAAGAGGAAAACATGATTCTAAAGTGATTCATTTTAATCTGAACGGAAATATGGGAGAAAAAGGGAATAAATCTCACTGAATAAACTTAGGCTACGGTCTTCTTCAGGTCAGAGGTCACTGTGGGGTTGGAAGCCGTTCACACAGACGTCTCTCTGGGTTTGACTTTAATATGTAACATAAACAACAGCAAAAAGACCTGCTGTGTGAACGCAGCCTCAGTGGTTCTGTTTTTGTTTTAAAATGTCTTGGTTCTGGTTCTGGTTCTGGTTCTGGTTCCTCGGTTTGTAGTTTGAAGCGTTTAGCTGCTGCTCTAAGAACACACTGCCTGTAAAATGTCTCCTGGGTTGGGATCAATTTGAACCTCAGAAAAGAAGAAAAGTTTCTAGATCTCACTAATCTCAGGTTTTTACTGCAAATAAACCAAAATAAAAAGCATCAAAGACCCTTAAACTGAAAATATTGATATTTATTAATTTACTTAGGTTATAAATGCTGATTTTCTTGTGATATATTTTAATACCTTTGCTCTTTTATGCTTGTTAAAACCAGATTTAAGCAGATTTCCTGTCCACTCCTGTAAAACACAGACATCATGGCAGCAGGAGGACATGGTGAGTTCAGAGACCGTCGTATTAAACTCCTTCAGTAACAGAGACATGAGATGAGATGAAAGACTCAGAGCTGCTAAAACCAGATTCTGTTTTTTTACTGTTCATCTTATTTAGATTAAATTAACAATAAACTCAAATTGTTTTTCTGGTGTGAATGTCGTCTTAACTTTAGGATGTTTGAAAATGGTTGAATGTGACGCATCAATAATTTAATAACATTAATATGTATTTTGTCTGTCAAGGGATCAAGAAAACAGGATTATTTTCTAGGACAGCTGTTAAAGACCCTGGCAAGACCACAAAAAAACAAGAAAAATGCATTTTATATGCATTCACCTTTTACTACTTTTGACCAGAGCGTCTCAGTCCAGTCCTCAGTCCTGCTCTGCATGTTCTAGATGAGCCTCTATTCCAGAACAGCTGATTCAAATGGTTGCATGATCTCTAATGCAGCCAACCGACGCTGCAGAAAGCTGTTAATCACCTACAGATTTAATCCAGAAGGGAAACAAAACAAAACAGTGTTTCCAAACTTTTTCAGGCTGAGCAACACTTAACCCATTTAACAAACAGTCATGGGCCACCTAAAGGTAATTTTATTTATTTAGCACATTTTTATAAACAAGGCAATACAAAATGCTTTACTGGAATTAAAAGGAAATGCAAACAAAATAACAAACCAAAAAATCTAATAATCTTAAGTAAATAAACTAGATACTCTTTCAGGGATGTTAAACAAGTAGAAGTAAGTATTCTCTGGTCCAATTCATTTTCTGGGTTAGAAGAATAGGAGTCTAAGGTAGTTTTTCTGGGTTCCAAGTTCTAATCCCTGTTCTGGGTTGCTGAATCAATGTAAGTAACACTAGATAACTATAAGTATTCTCTGGACTTCCCATCTCCTGCTTGTTATTTTTATTTTGGGACCTTTGACAGGGGCTCAGCCAGCCCAAGTGTTTTAACTGGGCTGGTGGCACAGCTGAGATTGATGAGTGATGGGTGACATGTATGAAGTTGCTGCAGAAGTGGAGTTTTGGCGAAGAAAAAAATAATTAAAAGTACGGTGCGGGGAGGTTCTGGAAGGAAATAAAGTACCTTCACCTCGGGACGGATGTTCCCAGAGGGAAGCGTCAGATATTTTTGGCCGGGACGAAGTTTGTTTTCTTTTTAAAAAATCTTTATCTCTGAGGATTTTGTTGGCTGTAGTGGCTCTACTATTTTAGGCCGACAGGAAGGAGGGGATGGAGAGAGAGGGGGGGAATATCTCTTTATTCAGTAGTTTCAGGAGTGGTACAGATGTGCAGCAGAGTTGGAAATCAGTGGTGCTCAACCACCGGGCCGTGGACCGGTACTGGTCCGTGAATCACTTGGTACCGGCTGCAAGAAATAATGAAATATTTCCATTTTATGTATTATTTGAGTCTGGAGGATCTTTTATTTTGAAAATCCTTTACCGGATTCTCTCGGTGGCGTTTTGCCGCCAAACATTGATCCACAAGCAGCAAAACGAACAGAACCAGATCAGATTCTTTGGAAAGTTTGTCTGAAGGCCCAGAGAGGCAGGAGGATGGGTTTGTCCGGTGGTTTGATTCCCACAGTCCAAGCTGCTCTGCATGATCGGGTGACCTGATGAGCCAATGAAGCTTCAGACATGCCATGGAGACCCAGCATCACTTCAGTGTCTCATCTCCCAGAAGGAGAAACGAGTTCAGGGCTCCCTTTTAAAATGTTTCGTATCACATAAAATCAGTTCAGCCGAGAGAAAAGAAAAAAGAATTAGCAAAGTAATAATAAGGTTTGGCACCACTGCTCTAAATCATAACAGAAATGAGCCCATATTAATTCACCTCACACATTTGTCTAATACAAGTGGCAGCAGTGACACCTGCTGGCCACAAGTTTATAAAATGCTAGGACCGATAGTTTAATTTATAGGTCACAATAAACAGGCGCAAACAAGTATGGATGCCAACAAGAGCAAACGAAACAACAACGAACAAAATACTTGAATAACTCCAACATGTGCTCACAGGTGGATAGTTAACAATGTACAGCATCCCAATAACTACAGCCCGACAAAAACAACAGCAACACACAGCACGGGCGGAACTAATAAATAAAAAACCTTAATACACTTAACAAGTCACTTACAACAAGGCAGGAACGCACATCAACCCGAACCGAAACAATCGGCACCAGCTGCATGTCTCCACCCTCAGAGACATGCTTTACTGCAGCTGCTGAAAGTGCCATGAAGAACTCACCACTGGGTGGCGCACCTCCCCTCCCAGGCCAAAGAACCCAGAACCCGAGCCTTTGTAACGTCACGAGTGGTGGGTTTTTAGGAAAAGAGAAAAACTACTGAGACCTTGGCTACAGCTTTGGCTTTGTGTGACGAACCTGAAATGACCAGAGGCACTGTTCCAAATTAAACACAGTTTATTGAGCTCATAAAGCCTGCAGGCATAAATAGTCAGTTTATTTTCTTGCACAACATTTACCACACTAAACCAGAAGTCTATGCTGGCCCTGGAAAACCTGCAGCTGAAAACCATAATTAAAATCCAATTCAATAAAGTTAGAATAATAATGAAGAAAACACAGATATAATTAAATGCATCTGAGTGTTTCCCAAACAAAAACACACTCTCACAAAAATCCCTGGTGAATAAAGTGAAGATGCTATATTTATCATAAAAAAGATATAGTACCAATGGAAAAATATTAAATTTATTTAGTTCTATTACATTCTATTTTTGTAAAACTCATCTCAAATAGTTATCATAATTAAATATATAAACTATTGATAGTTTATTAGAGATGAAGTTCAGGAAGAAACTAAGGATTCAGTTAATAATCTTTGAACAATTTGAAAATGTCACTGTTCTCTTTCCTGTCTTTGTTGAAGCAGATTCTGCGTTTGCCCTCATATGGGAAACACTTTATTTGACGGAGCGTGCATTAGACTGAAATGACTCTATGAAGGAGCCTTTGAATGTTAATGTCTGTTCTCATGAAGTGTCATTTGGTAAATTATGACACGTTTAATGCTAAGTTGCAATTAAAAGTGCTAACTTTTTAAATTAGCACATTAGCCCATAATTCACAGTCACTCCACCTTCCTGTGAGTTTAAACTAAACTAAGTTTGAATGAAAAAAATATTCAGTGATAACAGTATCACTGCTAAAAATGAAAAAACAAAGTGGTCATGTTTAATAATTTTTCATGCTCTAATTAACATAGTAATACTAATGGATAAAGATTTACATAGGAAAAAATGATTTTCCTCAGGAAGGAAACACAAAAAAATAATATTTTTTGTTTAAAGAAATATGTTGAAAAAAAAAAAACTGAGGGACGTTTAACTTTTCAGCTTTTCCACCAGTGAAAAGATAAAATACATTTAATTGCATCAAAACAAACTACATTGATCAAGACATTAAGATTATTAGCTAGATTTCCACTAATAATAAAGTTGTTTCATTTTTCATTATGTTCTCATTTTGTCTTTTTCTCTGTGTCTTTGCTCCAGTGTCTGAACCTGAACTGAGGGTTGTCCTACTGGGAGGCAACTGGTCCCAGAGAAATCTAGTTAGGACCCTCATACTGGGAGGGAAAAGTTTCACCACGAAACCAAACTCCTTTATCAAAATCACTGGATCAGTGAGAAACAGGAAAATATCTGTTATCAACACTCCAGATCTGCAGTTCCCCACAGCGGACAGCATTACAGAGTTTATTAGAGGATGTGCTGCAGCCTCTCATCCTGGACCTCATGTGTTCCTGTTGGTTCTTCAGCCTGAAGACTTCACTGAGGAAGAAAAGCAGAGCATCCACCAAGCACTTTACCATTTCAATGATGAATCATTTAGTCATTCACTGGTAATGATCCTGAATCCCAAACAGGAAGGTTCAATATTAAAGGAAGAACGGATGAAGAATCCTCAGATAAGGAATCTGATCACAGAGTGTAGATACAGATATTTATTCCAAATGATGGTTGAACCTCAAGAGCTGCTGATTCAGTTTGATCAAATAATGAAAGAGAACAATGGAGAACATGTGAGATATAAAGAGCCTGAGGGAACGGCGACTCCAGCTGGTGAAGATGAAGGTTAGTAAAAATGTTCACATAATAAACAAACGTTCTTTAATCTGCTAATTTATGCTCAATATTCAGAGATCTGAGTGAAGTAAACAAATTCCTCCTTAGCTCAGTTTTAAGGAAAAAACTCAGAAGATGACAAAAAATATCTCTTAGGTTTGTTTAAAAAATAATACATTTTCATATGAACCAAAAATAGCACAAATGTATTGCAATTGGATACTTTACTGATATTTAAACCTTAAATTGATCAAATTTATGTTTCTAAAACTAAAGTTATAGAAATTAGATTAGTTTCTAAATTAACCTAACTTTAACATTGTTGCATGAATAAAGTGCCTTCTGAAACAAGAGGATACAAAAACATCACCTGTTGTTATTTTGACCCAGGCAGATGACATCCACCCATTCATTTTCTAACACCTTTAGTGGCTCTTGAGGTGCTGATGTCTGTCTCCAGCGAACGTTTCGGGCGAGAGGCAGGGTCACCCCAGACAGGTGGCCAGTCTGTCTCCAGTCTGTCTCCAGTCTGTCTCCAGTCTGTCTCCAGTCTGTCTCCAGTCTGTCTCCAGTCTGTCGCAGACTTCAACTGCATTCCCCACATTACAAAACCCAATCTCAGTGGTCAAAAACAGGAAGATAGAGGTCATCATCCCTAGGAAGGTCAAACATGAATCTGCTGTCACAAATCAGAGGTCAAAGTTCAGATCTCAGTCAGAAGTCAGAATCATGAGACGGTTCTCTGAAGACATGCAGGTCAAACAGCAGAATCACCAGAGCAGGAAAAGGTGAAGTGGATTTCTCCTGACAACATGCAGCATTAATGTAGCAAAGAAAGAGAGACAGACAAACAGCACAGCGAATGATGGGAATGTAATCAGGAATGACGCAGGATAGGAGAAAGAAAACATTCGAGGAAGAAATGTGAATCATCCAGTGGTCAGAGACAGCAGCCTGAATCCAGAGGCAGCAAACCTCAATGTGGCCGAGTCACCCTGGGGTCACCCTGGAGTCACCCTGGGGTCATCCTGGGGTCATCCTGGGGTCACCCTGGAGTCACCCTGGGGTCACCCTGGAGTCACCCTGGAGTCACCCTGGAGTCACATTGGAGTCACCCTGGGGTCACATTGGGGTCACCCTGGAGTCACCCTGGAGTCACCCTGGGGTCACACTGGAGTCACCCTGGGGTCACCCTGGAGTCACCCTGGAGTCACCCTGGGGTCACCTGGAGTCACCCTGGGGTCACCCTGGGGTCACCCTGGAGTCACCCTGGGGTCACCCTGGAGTCACCCTGGAGTCACCCTGGAGTCACCCTGGGGTCACCCTGGAGTCACCCTGGAGTCACCTTGGAGTCACCCTGGGGTCACCCTGGAGTGACTCGGGAGTCACCCTGGAGTCACCCTGGAGTCACCCTGGAGTCACCCTGGGGTCACCCTGGAGTCACCCTGGGGTCACCCTGGAGTCACCCTGGAGTCACCTTGGGGTCATCCTGGAGTCACCCTGGGGTCACCCTGGAGTCACCCTGGGGTCACCCTGGAGTCACCCTGGGGTCACCCTGGGGTCACCCTGGGGTCACATTGGAGTCACCCTGGGGTCACATTGGAGTCACCCTGGGTTCACATTGGAGTCACCCTGGAGTCACCCTGGAGTCACCCTGGGGTCATCCTGGAGTCACCCTGGGGTCACCCTGGAGTCACCCTGGGGTCACCCTGGAGTCACCCTGGAGTCACCCTGGGGTCACCTGGAGTCACCCTGGGGTCACCCTGGGGTCACCCTGGAGTCACCCTGGGGTCACCCTGGAGTCACCCTGGAGTCACCCTGGAGTCACCCTGGGGTCACCCTGGAGTCACCCTGGAGTCACCCTGGAGTCACCTTGGGGTCATCCTGGAGTCACCCTGGGGTCACCCTGGGGTCACCTTGGGTCACCCTGGAGTCACCCTGGGGTCACCCTGGAGTCACCCTGGGGTCACCCTGGGGTCACCCTGGGGTCACCCTGGAGTCACCCTGGGGTCACCTGGAGTCACCCTGGGGTCACCCTGGGGTCACCCTGGTGTCACCCTAAAGTCACCCTGGAGTCACCCTGGAGTCACCCTGGGGTCATCCTGGGGTCACCCTGGGGTCACCCTGGGGTCACATTGGGGTCACCCTGGGGTCACCCTGGGGTCACATTGGGGTCACCCTGGGGTCACCCTGGAGTCACCCTGGGGTCACATTGGGGTCACCCTGGGGTCACCCTGGAGTCACCCTGGGGTCACATTGGGGTCACCCTGGGGTCACCCTGGGGTCACATTGGGGTCACCCTGGGGTCACCCTGGAGTCAAACTGGGGTCACATTGGGGTCACCCTGGAGTCACCCTGGGGTCACATTGGGGTCACCCTGGGGTCACCCTGGGGTCACATTGGGGTCACCCTGGAGTCACCCTGGGGTCACATTGGGGTCACCCTGGGGTCACCCTGGAGTCACCCTGGGGTCATCCTGGGGTCACCCTGGGGTCACCCTGGAGTCACCCTGGGGTCACCCTGGGGTCACATTGGGGTCACCCTGGGGTCACCCTGGAGTCACCCTGGAGTCACCCTGGAGTCACCCTGGAGTCACCCTGGGGTCACATTGGGGTCACCCTGGGGTCACCCTGGAGTCACCCTGGGGTCATCCTGGGGTCACCCTGGGGTCACCCTGGGGTCACCCTGGAGTCACCCTGGAGTCACCCTGGGGTCACCCTGGAGTCACCCTGGAGTCACCCTGGGGTCACCCTGGGGTCACCCTGGAGTCACCCTGGGGTCACCTGGAGTCACCCTGGAGTCACCCTGGAGTCACCCTGGGGTCACCCTGGAGTCACCCTGGAGTCACCCTGGGGTCACCCTGGGGTCACCTGGAGTCACCCTGGGGTCACCTGGAGTCACCTTGGGTCACCCTGGATTCACCCTGGGGTCACCCTGGAGTCACCCTGGAGTCACCCTGGGGTCACCCTGGGGTCACCCTGGAGTCACCCTGGGGTCACCTGGAGTCACCCTGGGGTCACCCTGGTGTCACCCTAAAGTCACCCTGGAGTCACCCTGGAGTCACCCTGGGGTCACATTGGGGTCACCCTGGAGTCACCCTGGGGTCACATTGGGGTCACCCTGGGGTCACCCTGGGGTCACATTGGGGTCACCCTGGAGTCACCCTGGGGTCACATTGGGGTCACCCTGGGGTCACCCTGGAGTCACCCTGGGGTCATCCTGGGGTCACCCTGGAGTCACACTGGGGTCACCCTGGGGTCACATTGGGGTCACCCTGGGGTCACCCTGGAGTCACCCTGGAGTCACCCTGGAGTCACCCTGGAGTCACCCTGGGGTCACATTGGGGTCACCCTGGGGTCACCCTGGAGTCACCCTGGGGTCATCCTGGGGTCACCCTGGGGTCACCCTGGGGTCACCCTGGAGTCACCCTGGAGTCACCCTGGGGTCACCCTGGAGTCACCCTGGAGTCACCCTGGGGTCACCCTGGGGTCACCCTGGAGTCACCCTGGGGTCACCTGGAGTCACCCTGGAGTCACCCTGGAGTCACCCTGGGGTCACCCTGGAGTCACCCTGGAGTCACCCTGGGGTCACCCTGGGGTCACCCTGGAGTCACCCTGGGGTCACCTGGAGTCACCTTGGGTCACCCTGGATTCACCCTGGGGTCACCCTGGAGTCACCCTGGAGTCACCCTGGGGTCACCCTGGGGTCACCCTGGGGTCACCCTGGAGTCACCCTGGGGTCACCTGGAGTCACCCTGGGGTCACCCTGGGGTCACCCTGGTGTCACCCTAAAGTCACCCTGGAGTCACCCTGGAGTCACCCTGGGGTCATCCTGGGGTCACCCTGGGGTCACCCTGGGGTCACATTGGGGTCACCCTGGGGTCACCCTGGGGTCACATTGGGGTCACCCTGGGGTCACCCTGGAGTCACCCTGGGGTCACATTGGGGTCACCCTGGGGTCACCCTGGGGTCACCTGGAGTCACCCTGGGGTCACCCTGGGGTCACCCTGGTGTCACCCTAAAGTCACACTGGAGTCACCCTGGGGTCACATTGGGGTCACCCTGGAGTCACCCTGGGGTCACCTGGAGTCACCCTGGGGTCACCCTGGGGTCACCCTGGTGTCACCCTAAAGTCACCCTGGAGTCACCCTGGGGTCATCCTGGGGTCACCCTGGGGTCACCCTGGGGTCACATTGGGGTCACCCTGGGGTCACCCTGGGGTCACCCTGGAGTCACCCTGGGGTCACATTGGGGTCACCCTGGAGTCACCCTGGGGTCACCTGGAGTCACCCTGGGGTCACCCTGGGGTCACCCTGGTGTCACCCTAAAGTCACCCTGGAGTCACCCTGGAGTCACCCTGGGGTCACCCTGGGGTCACATTGGGGTCACCCTGGGGTCACCCTGGGGTCACATTGGGGTCACCCTGGGGTCACCCTGGAGTCACCCTGGGGTCACATTGGGGTCACCCTGGGGTCACCCTGGAGTCACCCTGGGGTCACATTGGGGTCACCCTGGGGTCACCCTGGGGTCACATTGGGGTCACCCTGGGGTCACCCTGGAGTCACCCTGGGGTCACATTGGGGTCAACCTGGAGTCACCCTGGGGTCACATTGGGGTCACCCTGGGGTCACATTGGGGTCACCCTGGAGTCACCCTGGGGTCACATTGGGGTCACCCTGGGGTCACCCTGGAGTCACCCTGGGGTAATCCTGGGGTCACCCTGGGGTCACCCTGGAGTCACCCTGGGGTCACATTGGGGTCACCCTGGGGTCACCCTGGAGTCACCCTGGAGTCACCCTGGGGTCACCCTGGAGTCACCCTGGAGTCACCCTGGGGTCACATTGGGGTCACCCTGGGGTCACCCTGGAGTCACCCTGGGGTCATCCTGGGGTCACCCTGGGGTCACCCTGGGGTCACCCTGGAGTCACCCTGGAGTCACCCTGGGGTCACCCTGGGGTCACATTGGGGTCACCCTGGGGTCACCCTGGAGTCACCCTGGGGTCACATTGGGGTCACCCTGGGGTCACCCTGGAGTCACCCTGGGGTCATCCTGGGGTCACCCTGGAGTCACCCTGGAGTCACCCTGGGGTCACCCTGGAGTCAACCTGGGGTCACCCTGGGGTCACCCTGGAGTCACCCTGGAGTCACCCTGGAGTCACCCTGGAGTCACTCTGGAGTCACCCTGGGGTCACCCTGGGGTCACCCTGGAGTCACCCTGGGGTCACCCTGGGGTCACCCTGGAGTCACCCTGGAGTCACCCTGGGGTCACCCTGGGGTCACCCTGGAGTCAGCCTGGAGTCACCCTGGAGTCACCCTGGGGTCACCCTGGAGTCACCCTGGGGTCACTCTGGAGTCATCCTGGAGTCACCCTGGGGTGACATTGGGGTCACCCTGGGATCACCCTGGACTCACCCTGGAGTCACCCTGGAGTCACCCTGGGGTCACCCTGGAGTCACCCTGGAGTCACCCTGGGGTCACCCTGGGGTCACCCTGGAGTCACCCTGGGGTCACATTGGGGTCACCCTGGAGTCACCCTGGGGTCACCCTGGAGTCACCCTGGAGTCACCCTGGGGTTATCCTGGGGTCACCCTGGAGTCACCCTGGAGTCACCCTGGAGTCACCCTGGGGTCACCCTGGGGTCACCCTGGAGTCACCCTGGAGTCACCCTGGGGTCACCCTGGAGTCACCCTGGAGTCACCCTGGAGTCAGCCTGGAGTCACCCTGAGGTCACTCTGGAGTCATCCTGGAGTCACCCTGGAGTCACCCTGGGGTCACATTGGGGTCACCCTGGGGTCACCCTGGAGTCACCCTGGGGTCATCCTGGGGTCACCCTGGGGTCACCCTGGAGTCACCCTGGAGTCACCCTGGGGTCACCCTGGGGTCACATTGGGGTCACCCTGGGGTCACCCTGGAGTCACCCTGGGGTCACATTGGGGTCACCCTGGGGTCACCCTGGAGTCACCCTGGGGTCATCCTGGGGTCACCCTGGGGTCACCCTGGGGTCACCCTGGAGTCACCCTGGAGTCACCCTGGGGTCACATTGGGGTCACCCTGGGGTCACCCTGGAGTCACCCTGGGGTCACCTGGGGTCACCCTGGAGTCACCCTGGAGTCACCCTGGGGTCATCCTGGGGTCACCCTGGAGTCACCCTGGAGTCACCCTGGGGTCACCCTGGAGTCAACCTGGGGTCACCCTGGGGTCACCCTGGAGTCACCCTGGAGTCACTCTGGAGTCACCCTGGGGTCACCCTGGGGTCACCCTGGAGTCACCCTGGAGTCACCCTGGAGTCACCCTGGGGTCACCCTGGGGTCACCCTGGAGTCACCCTGGAGTCACCCTGGGGTCACCCTGGGGTCACCCTGGAGTCAGCCTGGAGTCACCCTGGAGTCACCCTGGGGTCACCCTGGAGTCACCCTGGGGTCACTCTGGAGTCATCCTGGAGTCACCCTGGGGTGACATTGGGGTCACCCTGGGATCACCCTGGACTCACCTGGAGTCACCCTGGAGTCACCCTGGAGTCACCCTGGAGTCACCCTGGGGTCACCCTGGGGTCACATTGGAGTCACCCTGAGGTCACTCTGGAGTCATCCTGGAGTCACCCTGGAGTCACCCTGGGGTCACATTGGGGTCACCCTGGGATCACCCTGGAGTCACCCTGGAGTCACATTGGGGTCACCCTGGAGTCACCCTGGAGTCACATTGGGGTCACCCTGGAGTCACCCTGGGGTCACCCTGGAGTCACCCTGGAGTCACCCTGGGGTCACCCTGGAGTCACCCTGGAGTCACCCTGGGGTCACCCTGGGGTCACCCTGGAGTCACCCTGGAGTCACCCTGGGGTCACATTGGGGTCACCCTGGAGTCACCCTGGGGTCACCCTGGAGTCACCCTGGAGTCACCCTGGGGTCACATTGGAGTCACCCTGGAGTCACCCTGGAGTCACCCTGGGGTCACCCTGGGGTCACCCTGGAGTCACCCTGGAGTCACCCTGGAGTCACCCTGGAGTCACCCTGGGGTCACCCTGGGGTCACCCTGGAGTCACCCTGGGGTCACATTGGGGTCACCCTGGAGTCACCCTGGAGTCAACCTGGGGTCACCCTGGGGTCACCCTGGAGTCACCCTGGGGTCACCCTGGAGTCACCCTGGAGTCACCCTGGGGTCACCCTGGAGTCACCCTGGAGTCACCCTGGGGTCACATTGGGGTCACCCTGGAGTCACCCTGGAGTCAACCTGGGGTCACCCTGGGGTCACCCTGGAGTCACCCTGGGGTCACCCTGGGGTCACCCTGGAGTCACCCTGGGGTCACATTGGGGTCACCCTGGGGTCACTCTGGAGTCACCCTGGAGTCACCCTGGAGTCACCCTGGGGTCACCCTGGGGTCACCCTGGAGTCACCCTGGAGTCACCCTGGGGTCACCCTGGAGTCACCCTGGAGTCACCCTGGGGTCACATTGGGGTCACCCTGGGGTCACTCTGGAGTCACCCTGGAGTCACCCTGGAGTCACCCTGGGGTCACCCTGGAGTCACCCTGGGGTCACCCTGGAGTCACCCTGGAGTCACCCTGGAGTCACATTGGGGTCATCCTGGGGTCACATTGCTGCATGTCTTCCCCCCTTTCTCTCTGCTCCTTCCTGTTAGATTACTGTTAATCTGACAGGATTAGTAATCCCATTAGATTAGGTTTTAGTGTCAACTTGAAAAACTTCTTTCAAAAGAAATGGAAATGATGATATCTTTATGTTTCTTTTTGCTGAAGTGATGAATGATGTTGTTAGTCTAATAATGGATGTTACAACACAAACAGTCCAGTTTAACACACTCAGTGATTTCAGTCTGTTTTGGGTTTTTCCAGCATGTTGTTCATCTGATTCTCTGTAAAGTTATGTTTCATCATTTCATTTTTCTCTTTGTTGTGTTCCAGTTTCTGCATTTAGGATTGTACTCTTTGGGGAAAATGAGAACAAAAAGACTGAACTTGTCAAGCAGATGATCAGAAATCAAGAGTTTGTCATCCGAAAACCTTCTTCCCAATGTGTGGCTCACTGTGGACAACTGAGAGGAAAACCAGTGACAATGGTGACATTTCCTGACCTGTTCAGTCTGACTGAGAGTCAAATGGCAGCAGAGTTAAAGAGCTGCTGGGATCTTTGTCATCCTGGACCAAATGTTCTGCTGCTGATGGTGAATTCTTCAGATTTCACAGAGGAGAAGAAAAAAAAACTGGATTCCTTCCTGAAAAAGTTTGATGAAAATGCCCAGAAACACTCAATGGTCATCAGAACAAATGAAATTGATAAACAGGATTCTGTTCTTAATTCATTCATCGCAGATAGACAGTATGAAGATAGACAGTACAACATGGCTGACAACAATCTCCAGAATTTAATGAAGAAGATTGAAGATATTGTAAATCGTGACCAAAGTGCCTTCCTGAAGCTCAAAGAGGATAAAGCAGAGTCAAAACGTGACGAGACTCTGCAACACTCAAACCGGGTTTTGTTAGAGAAGACGTCAGAATCGGGCCGAATGGAGGATAAACTACAGCAACAGACAGGTTGGTAGACAGTTTGCTGTTTTTGGTCCACATTAGAGTTCAATGTGCATTCTCACAAACAAACTTTGTAGAGAAACCAACTGGAGTTCCTCTAAGAACAGGACTGGTGTGAATGGACCTGAGCCAAGGTGGGTAGTACGAGTCCTGGAGAACCGCTGACCTGCAGCTTTAGATCAATCTCTGGTCCAGAACCTGAGTTACATAATGAGGTGATGAGCAGGAGAACCTGATGCACTGCAGGAAGAGATTCAGCTGTTTGATTATTAGGATCCATATTACATGTTGCCATTACATTGTTCCTGGGATTCACATCATAACACATCATTTACTACAAACCCAGTTATACACACTTAACATAACATTAGAAACATAACATGAATTCATAAATACACAATTATAACACTTTATAAAATGAACTCTGGGTTAAAGTGATCTGTGAATTTATCATCTTTCATCTCATAGTTATTATTTATTCTGTAATTTCCCAGGTAATCCAGAGCGTCTCCGGATCGTTCTGATTGGGAAAACTGGCAGTGGGAAGAGTTCATCAGGAAACACCATCCTGGGAAGAAACCAGTTTAAATCTGGAGTTTCTCCACAGTCAGTTACTAGAAGCTGTGAGAAAGCTGAATGTGTGATAGACGATCGCCATGTTGATGTTGTTGACACTCCTGGTCTGTTTGACACCAGCTTGTCCTTGAGTCAGGTTAATGAAGAGATAAGGGAATGTATCAATCTGGTGCATCCAGGTCCTCATGTCTTCCTGCTGGTTTTACCGATCGGCAGATTCTCTATAGAAGACACTGAGACACTGAAACTGATTCAGGAAGTTTTGGGAGAAAATTATAAGAAGTTTACCATCGTCCTGTTTACCAGAGGAGATACACTGGAATGTGATGAGATCTCCATTGAACAATACGTTAAAGATCATTGTGATGATGCCTGTAAGAATCTGATCAGAGAGTGTGGAGGAAGATACCATGTGTTCAATAACCATCAAATAAAGAATCGATCACAAGTTACTGATCTGATCAAAAATATCAACATGATGGAGAATGAAGGCAAATGCTACACCAGGGAGATGTTACCTGGTCAACAGAAACCAAAATAAAATCTCCTGTTTGACTAATAAAGTTTATCTGAATCTGATTAGTGTTAAAATAAAGAAAAAGAAAACAAAATAAACTCCAGAATGCAAAGCACTCAGCCAATCATTTGTTTCTGAAAATGCATATTAATACCAACCTGTAATATTTCCTTAGTTATTGGTGCTTCACTTTTATTATCTTGCCCCTTTTTACATTTTAGTGTTGTTTATTTCATTCTTTTCATTTTCATTGTTATTTTAACTTTACTGGATTAATCATTTTGTAACAGAATGAAATATTGGAGATTAGAAAAACTTCATTTAAATAAAATATGGGCTCAAACTACATATTTTCAGTATTTTCTGTAGTGTTGAAAAAAAGCAGCTACAATAACTTTACATTGTTGACGCTGCCATCTTTAAAGGGCTGGAAATGCCGGGTAGTGACGGAGGAAAAACAACACAGCCTTTAGCTTCATTTGGCCTGAGTGCAGTGCAGTGCGGTGCAGCCTGTGGCCTTTTATTAACAGATTTCACACACCTGTGTAAATCCCCGCCCACAACAGGTAATCAGCAAGAACATCAACAAGATTCAACACCCCCACTTGTTCTTATGCTGACATAATACATTTACATGTCATTGCTTTACATTTACATGCCAAAAATAAAACATGCAAATTTATCCATTCTCATTTTAGTTACAGGCTTTGTTAAAATATCAGCCACCATTTCTGTTGTTGGACAGTAAGACAGAGTTATTTTTCCATCACAAAGTGCAGACCGAATAAAGTGATACCGAATATCAATGTGTTTGCACCTTTGACGATAGACCGGACTTTTAGAAAGAGCAATTGCACCTTGATTGTCCTCAAAAATAGTCACAGGTGTATATTCACATCCAAAGTCCATTCCATTCATTAGATTCACAAGATAGATACTTTCCTGTGTAGCAGCAGCCAAAGCAATATATTCAGCTTCACATGTAGACAAAGAAACTGTGGGTTGCTTTTTAGACTTCCAGGAAATAATGGGTCCAGTTTCAGATAGACTAAAACAGTAACCAGTCATACTTCGTCTGTCCTTCTGGTCTCCTGCCCAGTCTGCATCACAGAATGCCACAAGTTTAAGATTTTGTTCATTTTTCTTGAAGCATAATTCCTGATTTAGTGTACATTTCAAATACCTCAATACATGCTTTGCTGCAACCCAATGTTGTTCTCTTGGTTCAGACAAGTATTGTGACAACTTACTGACAATAAAACTCAAATCTGGTCTAGTGCTCATCATTACATAGATCAAACTTCCCACTACTTCACGATATCTTTTATGATCAGCAGGTTGACCTTCACTGTCAAACTTCATTTTATTTTCACAGGGGGTTGACCTTGGTTTGCAGTTAGTCATGCCAAACCTCTCCAATATTTTTATAATGTATCTTTTCTGGTTCATTTTTACTTGACCGTGGTTCTGTGTAAAATCAATCCCTAGAAAATATTTCAGTTTCCCAAGATCTTTAATTTTAAACTTAGCAGCCAACATTTTCTTCACACTTTTGAGTATTTGATCATTACTAGCTGCAATAATAAGGTCATCAACCCAAATAATCAAGATCACTCTCTCATGTTCATTTTCTTTACTGTAAACACAATAGTCAGCAGGTTTCTGCACAGTCAATTTCAATAAGGAAATCATGTAACATTTTATTCCAATTTCGTCCTGACTGTTTCAGACCATAAAGTGACTTGTTAAGCTTACAGACTAATTTTTCTCCTGTCTCTGTTACCACCTCAAATCCTTCGGGTTGTTCTAAAAATATCTCACAATCGATAGGGGCGTGTAAATATGCCTTTTTGACATCCATTTGGTGCAATTCCAAATCATATTGAGCAGCAAGCTGCATCAGAACACGCACAGATGTCATATCAGAGAAAAAGTCTCATTATAATCAATACCAGCAACCTGACTATAGCCTTTTGCTACGTATCTAGCCTTATAAAGGGTCTCCACAGGATTTTCTTTAATATTAAATACCCATCTACCCCCCACTGCTTGCTTACCTTCAGGTAATGAAGTTAGGGTGTAAGTATTATTCTCTATCAAAGAATCCATTTCATCCTTCATAGCTTTAGCCCATAGTTGTGATTGTGGTGAGCTCATAGCTTCTTCCACTGTCTTAGGCACATCACATGCAAGCCTATAACAATAGTCAATGTTCATGTGTGCTTGATCATCCTCACATTTCATTTCATAATCCTGATCTGTGTAATACTTAGGAGGTCTCCTGTCTCGCTTAGGATAACGTACACCAGGGTTACCTCCAGTTTGATCTAAGTTCTCATCATTATCACAAGACTCAGATTTCATCTCTTGTGAGATAACTGTTCTCAAATCTGGTTTCAATTGTACACTTTCAACTTTCTTCTTGAGTAAAATATTTTCATTTATGTCATCATCAGTCTGAGTGTCACATTCAATAGTACTTTTTGTGGTAAACTTTACCAGCCTGTTCTTAAGTACTCGTCCTGTATTTGGATAAAAGATGAGATATGCAGGACTATTTTTGTCATAACCAACAAAAATTCCTTTTTCACAACGTGGATCCAACTTTTTCTTGTCATATTTATATGCATAACATTCAGATCCAAAAGTTCTCATTTTTGAAAGGTCTGGTTTCTTTCCAGTTAACATGTAATATGGAGTCTGCTCAACACGTCTGTTGTAACATCTATTACGAATAATAGCAGCCGTCTGAACTGCATATGTCCATAAATTTTTAGGCAGATTACTCTCAATTAGCATGCATCTTGCCATTTCAAAAATAGTTCTCCATGTTCTCTCAGCTGTCCCATTCTGATGGGGAGAATAAGGGGCTGAAGTTTCATGTCTAATGGCATTTTGACTTAGCAATGATTGGAACTCTCTGGACATAAATTCAGTTCCATTATCAGATCTTATACATTTAATTTTTCCATGAGGTGCCACATCTGCAATAAACTTCTCTGTTCCCTTAACAGTATCACTCTTAGCTTTCAGAAAATAGGTAAAGATAGCACCTGAAAAATCATCTGTAAAAGCCAAGGTATATCTAAACCCATCTTTAGCAGCTGGTTCTATTGGTCCAGCCAGATCTGCATGTACAAGATCTAATGCACCTTTAGCTTTATCATCAGGATCTCTATTTCTGGTCTGAGCAAATTTACCTTTTATGCATACTTCACATTTCAGATCAGGTTTTTCACTTTTACCTCTAATTTTCATTCCATCTACAACACTTTCTAACTTCGACACATCATCATAGTTACAGTGACCTAAAATTTCATGCCACGTTTGGATGTCATAGCAGCCATTGCACTTAACATCATCTGCAACAGTATTTAAATAAAACATTCTATCATAAACATCAATATCAAAAACCGTACCATTTTTATGGATGAGCCTGTTCTGTCCATCTTTGAAGATGACTGTCGCTCCTTGGGCAGTTGCGGCTTTAACCGAAAAGATGTCCTGAGAAAATGATGGCAAGTATAAAGTGTCCTTTAACATTATCTCTACAATTCGGCCGTTGCTGTCTCTCAAATGAACTCTGGCGGTGCCCTTCTTCAGCGCGATGCCCCTGGTCCTCACGCCGTCAGCCAACTCCAAAATATGGCTCTGAGGCTTAAAAGTCAAGTCAAAATCCTTGAATTTAGCAGCGTCTGTCACAATGTGCTTTGTTGCACCCGAGTCGACCATGAGGCCCTTCACCTTCATGCCATTGATCTGGGCATCAGCAATCTGCTTCACCTTGAAAGCGAATGTATAGTCCTCCTCATCCATTGCTTGCTTGATCTTGTCTCTCCTTTTCCGCCGACAATTTGCGTCCTTATGCGTGGCGCTCTTGCAAAAACTACACCACTGTTTCGGCTCTCTGCGC